AGATATGATTATAACCACAATTATGTATACATTTTACTCCTAAGAAGTGTTCAGAGCTGATTATTACAAGGATTATATATTTATATGTGCTTCATATCCTGGAATCTAGCTCAATCGTTAAAATAATGCCTATTTCATGGAATAAGACATTATTTAAATTCGTTTGTATGAGAACCATGATATTACTATTAAATGAGATTCAGATTAGAAAAGGTTAGGATTAAAATCCGTCATGGTTTGTAACAGATTAAATAATTTAATATGATGATATTTAACAAGAAAATTATTCATCATTTCATCAATAGTCATGATCATAAATTACAAGCCATACTAATTCTATTTGATTAATATATCGCTTACATTGAAAGAGAAATAGTAGCAGTTTCTGTACGAAGTTAATATAATATTAAAATCGATTATTAATTATAGATTTACCTGTAAGTAGTGCAAATTTTATCCTCATAATTGCTGATCAATATCGCTCATGTGTATACCTGTTCAATCATTAATGTGGAAATTTTCCATTTAATCAATCTAAATGTAGGCATGCAATGAGATAATTACTTTAAAGTCCTTAGGTAATTCCTATGCCATTACATTTTCTCATGTAGACTTTTTTAGTCAAGATATCAACTTTCTTGACGTCATTAAAATATCGAAAGGAAGGAACGCTATCAACAATTGTTGAAAGACTGTTTAAATTCTAAATTGTCTCCGTACGAAGAAAATCAATAAATATCATGAAAGCATAATAGTTAGATAAATAAAGATATAAAATTACATCAATAGGTTTAGCTACCGGTATTAAATGATATAACAATAATAATTCATCTAATGGAAGAATTAAAATAATAAGGAAATTTTAGATTATAGTAAAAAACAAAAGTATTTATCATCAAGTAGATTGTTTATTATTAACGATTAAGATTTTAAAGACAAAGGAAGCTGAGAAATATGTGACAAAATTATCGCTTCATTTCTTTCTGTTCTATATGGCGATAAATTCCTTTAACCTGGCAGCAGAATACTGTTGCCATGCAATATGTATATGCGGGTAAATATACAGAATCTATGTACAGCATTTATAAGCCTCTCTATTTCCTTCCTGATATAGTAAATTGATTCAAGCCATGCATAGTCGAAGCACCATTTTTATATAGTTCTTTTTGCTAAATATTTTTGTATAAGTTGGATTTTAACATTAACGAAGAAATATAGAGCTGTGTATTAACTTGTCATCCATATTGGATTTATATCATGGATATAAAAAGAAAATTCAGATATTATTACACTACGCTAAATTACTACTTTTGAGGATAGATTGGATAGCTTTAATGATAGATAGTAAAATTTCTGAAGAGAGTATTTAATTCAAATATATAATATGGTGTTTTATAAAATTCTTTGTATGTTAAAATTTTAAAGTTGAAATGTTGCTTACTGCCTTAGAATACCAAGGAATATTAGTTAAGTTAAGGCGGGATTATCCTAATGATAATCTGTGAAGGTTAAACCTTTTTCTTGCTATAAAATCACGTAAGATCATTTTTAAGCTGACATTTCAAGTTTTCATTTTTTTATTAAGAAAGGTAATGACGCTTGAATATTTAGTTATTATAAAAGTTTAATTATAACAGCTTCTGTACATTTTCGAAATAAAAAGCTGCTAGTGCTAGGATACGGTTGTCAAATCGAACTGCAAGAAAAATAGGTCCCTTCATATCCTTTCTGTAGTATTATAATTGGAGTTATGTCATAGTTTAAATATTATTTTTATTATCACGAAATGAAAACAAATTGTACTGTTTCATTAGTATCAGATTAAAATCACAGCAGGAAAGTACGAGACCAATAACCAGCAGCCATATGTGAACCTGATGCAATGATTACCGATACGGTACATCCATCAGTGGTATTTCTATGTAATAATTAGACGTGTTTATTTTTCACCTTACCCCTTCAATTCATTGTAGATGGTACGAAATGATCGGACTACATTATAACTTATTAAATAAAATAGTACTTACTTACATCTTTTATTGAGATTTTAATTAATGATATCAATAGCGAAAAAGGAAAAGGAAGCAACAAAAAGTAATTGTTCCGCTAGCGTACTATTCCTTTTTACTGAAATCATCCTTATAATTGTTAGCAAAAGATTTCAATTTTCTTACGTCTTTGTTTGGTAGCGCATTGACATTAAACGGAAATTTAAGTCACGTTGCAAATTTTCGAATAAAATACAATTATTATTAATATTTTACAGAAGCAAACAGTTTACAGTAATTCAAGGGTCTATTGTAGACAATTACTGTAAGAATGTACAGTATTTGTAGCATAGATATAATAGCTGTGTCAGAATGATGAAATTTGGTCTAATTAGTCATGAATAACATAATGAATCGCGATTAATAACAGTATAACGTTAACCGCTTTAAAAATGAGGTCATAAATTTGAACTTTTATGAAGATATCTATTTGACTTGTTTATATTATTATTTAAGTGTTGATTTTGAATATAAAAATTTCTCTCGAACTATAGCCGTCTACCAATCAACATGATGCTAATCTGTGTCGGCCATTATGAATAAGTAGATTCTTTCCAATCAAAAATAGTAGAGCAATATAAAAAGTATTCGATATAGAACTACGTCAACATCAATTGTTAACTGTTGACTAATTTTTTTTTACACGTATAGCCGTAGGAATTTGTTGCCATTTTAACTTGGTAAGTAAAATGTAGTGGATGATGCAGGAAGAATTTCAGGTCCATTTTATGCAATAAAAACTGGAATATTCAAGAAGAGTATTAATAATACAGTCTTGCCTCCTTCCTACTAATTATAATAGTTGCCATTGACGAAGACAAGACGTGCTATAGGCGTCTAGATGGTGTCGTGGGTGCTAAACAAAATCGCGTTGCGAAATAGCACTACTGCAACACCACAATGTGTTCAACAGGATTTGTTGTCTGCCAATTTCTAGCTACATTTCGAGTTCGTCTATGAATTTATAGCTCAAAGGGTTGATTCATATCGATGACGGACACCACAATAACGTCAACGCGATTTGTTGTCTGTCAATTTGGAGTTCAATTTGGAGTTCATGGATGAACTTGTAAGTCAAGGAATGGCTCAAATAGATGACGGTTGGAGTTCCGTTACTTTTGTTCGTTATATCAACAATGTTAGTAGCGTAGGTGATATGCTAATGACCACAAAAGAGAAAATACGTTGATATAATGGTTGATTTTGGTATTAAAATTGAATTCTTCTGATTGACGTCTACTAATTATAATCAACAGTCAAGTGGATGTTGTATTTATCTATTATATTTCAAAATCAACGGTGATTCAAAATTGAGTATTGAAAATGGAAGGAAGGAAAAAATAAAAAATTAGTCTAGCTTGCCACTAACTATAGACATCGTCTTGAAAATTTAGTTATTTTATTATTGATTTGCTGTTTGGTTACTGTTGGATACGATGATGAACAAAGGGGGAAAAAAATAATAATCATCATAATAAAAGAAAAAATAGAGATTCGTTTGAATTCACGAAATCGGTGATGTTCCTTTGCTTATTGAAATGAAATTACTTTTAATGAATGACTGATTTTCAAATTGACTGACTGTTTGAATTGAGGGATAAAATTAATTGATATTCTTATCCCATTGAGTAGATGATCAAAGTAGCGTTTCAGTATAGTGTTGATATTATGATTATTCACTTAATCATCAAGTTGATGTGGTAACAACTCGACTGATGATTGGAAAGTGTTAAACTACTTGTTTGCTACTTTAGCGTGTGCTTGCAAAAGGTAGCTCATTTCAATAGGACACTATTTGGGGTAGAATGGAGTGATTGTTCAACATTGGCAAAAGGTAAGAGAAAAAAAATACTAAAGCGATACAAGCCATGCATTATTACGGATATCCTAGTGGATTTTTCCTCACTGTAAAATGAATTTTGACACTTGTCCATGGTTGTCACTGAAATGGTCGTCTCATAGCGACCCCCTACTGTTTTCAACCGCTGCTTCATTGCACCCCTCGACGCTTTGGTCGACCATGCTTGGTCTACTCACTCTACTGTAATCAAAACTAAAAGTAAATATGGCGTGTGACGCATGCCCGTGGTTAGAATAGAAAGCCAACCTTCTAGGCAATTCCATTGAGCTTGATTGGTGGATGATTGTTGTGTCGCTCCACCTATCAACTCGCCTTATTTACTATCTTCAACTGCTATATTACGCCAAGTGTCACGTGCTATTCAAACTAGACTCTCATTAATTGGTCAATTAGATGAAGAATCAGCGTAAATAATTAACTGCCAATCATTGTTCTTGTCATTACTCTTGTCGCGTGCCTTCATAACGGCTTGCAGTTTTATAGTCTAATGCCGTAACAAAAGATTTGAAAAAAAAATTTTTTTTTAAACTAAAAGGACGTAGCTAGAATCAGTCCAAGTCTGTCCGATTCGGTTGTGATTCTTTCTGACTCAATTAATTACCCAACAGCAAGAACGCTTTTTGAACTAGAAGGTGATACATTGTAATTGAATTGTAGATTTTTTTCCCCTATCGACATTGATAGGGCCTAAACTAAGTCATCTTGCTGTAAATGAACTCCGTTGATTTTTCTTTTTAACGCTTCTCTTTTCCGAATAACGTGTACAATATTATATTTATTTATTTCGTTGGAGAATAGTTGTGAAATTGATCATCGTCACCGTTTGCTTGGAAGTAACTTATCGATTAATTCCTGATATTATGATTATTATTAATTAAATATATATATACGGTATAGAGGTGTCGAGATAGAGCTATACTTTTTTCCTGGTAATTTATACAGTATATCTATCTATCTGGTGAAAGTTCTACTGTGCTGCCGACGATAGCGTTATTTATTTATTATTATTATTGTATTTTTATATTATTGCCATCGTGTTATCTCAAAACGTCACTTGAATGGTGCGATTCAAGTTGGAAGTTGACTACAGCATGTCGCGTCAAGAGGCGTCTGCAGATTGGCTTCACTGGGATCATCATTCCACTCCTGGGTGAGTAATTTAGTCATCACAACTTATTTATACAATTTACTTGATTCGATCGACATGATTAAGACCGCACAGGCAATGACTTTACAAGGACGTTATACTCTAGTTGAAAGGTTACTTTTCCAAATCACTGATGCTTCATCAGCGTCATATTAGTGTTGCTTGATGACGATAACTGTAATCTATATGCGATTACTAGCGTAGTCTTTATGGTGGTTGAGTATGTATCTAACAAATATAATAAAAGTAAAACTTGGCAACAACTTGACCTGCGTTTTATACATTAGTTGGAAATAAAAATAAGAAGAATGTTTACTGTCTATTATCTCTTACTTTCTTTCTATTTTATTTTACGTCGTTTTTTTTTGGTGGGGGACTGAAACGATAGCTAAGATGATGAAAACTAAAATAACAAATTGACGAAATAACATCGCATCTAGATAAAGCGTCTTGCTATCGTAATACAGTACGATGTAGTGTGGGAAATATGCGTTGATGATAATTCATTCAAACACTACAAATTGATCGGATCCAGTTAGACTCTGTGTCGACGGCAATCAATTTTATAATTTGTTACTAGTTAACAAATTTGCTAACTTAATATCGTCGATTCGCGTAGATTTTACCTTCCATTTTTACGTAATCGATAACATCATGGCCAATTCCGTCTAATATTGCCATTAGAATACGCTACAGCATTTAAATGATTGCTTTGCAATCGATAACATTGTGCTCTACTGGGTGCCTTTGAAAATGAAATTGTGTACCTGTAGTGCTTGATGTGACAGTTTTGATTATTTCGTTCCAAGTCATCATACTCTTCCTTTCTATCACTTTGTTGAATAATATAATCAAACGATCGAACCACTTGTATACCGTTACCAAATCATATAGTCATTTCTGTATGATATACGTATACTAAACTTGAATTCGTACAGCTAGCGCGTCAGTGAGCTAATTCAGGAAAAATTACCCAAGTCTTTTGCTAAAACATGAAGATTTCAATTTTGTATTAGGCCAAATCAGAGCATTTAATGAATGCCGAAGAAAAGTGATACGCGAAATTCAGTAATAATAACAAACATTATGTACTGTAATGTACTGTATGTTCATATACAGTATTCTATACTGTACACTAGTGTACAGTATAGTACAACAGATAGTGGTGATCCCATGGCGGAATACTATTTCGATTGATAAACGCAAATCCAGTTTATGAGCTTGCTGCTTGATTATGAAGAGTAAATTAAATCATTAACTATTGTACTGCATAGATCATGGCGACGAGATATACTCATATTTTGTTATTATCTCGTGGTACTTTTGAATTTATGCATGAGTGCAATGATTGGTCACGATTACACTGCTATCGAATTTAAGTTGCTAATAAAGTCGCTCTAAGACATGTTATTAAAATAACATTTCTTTCCAATCGCTTTTGGTTGATAGAACTACTGATTTACTACGTTCCCGAGAGACATTCCATGATCAACATCGCATGGTTATGAATGGTGAAAAGGATTCAAGTTCCTATTTTGAAATAGGAGAGGTATGGTTAGCTGTATTTACAACAGTAATTGATAAAATTTATACCTGTCATAGCCAATCGTCACGATTACTGCTATTATAGCGTTAAGATCGTATATTGTAAAAATTCAATTATTCGTTTATTAGTAGTATACTTAACTTTGGAATATTAAAGCGAGTTTTACATCACGAAGTAGCTACAACCACTAGCACGACTAATGTTAGTCTGCGATGAAAGTTCGTATTCTATACAGTACAGTAAACCGTAAACATGTAGTGTTATGAGTGAATTCCATTGCGAACATCCGAGAAGTACAATACATCTACTATGTGCTTACGTCAAGATGGTTGCCATCAAGTGCAGATGAATAAACTATGTTGTTGTACAAATAGAAGTAAAAATTATATGATAATATTATTAATTAATTTGAATGCATTGGCATCCTTGCTTACAGTATTGAACAGGAAATTATGATTACGTTGTAACTTTATCGTAAGACTCTCCTAGCTGCAACGCCATCATTCACCTAAAAAAATAGGGAATAAAATGAATATCATTTTCGCTTCATTATGATTCAATTCATCAGAATAACAACATGATAGCACAATTACATTTTATAATAATTTGTACGCAACTGCAGGGTCCCAGTGGAAATATCAATTATTGTAGTATTAACATCCGAGATATTTATAATAATAAATATCATATTGCTAAAGACTGAGGCCGTAATTTTTTGTTGTTACAGTTAAATATTATTCTATTTATTATAATCTTATCCAATGCCCATGCACATTTTCACGCGTGTTTACGACGATATTTTACTTATTTCGCTAATTAACCTACTGTAGACTCGGCGTACAGGGTGTTAAGATTTAGAAATCACTACTAATTTATTTCCGCCTATGCATTCAAAGTAGGAATGATCAACGTATAAGATTGTTACTTTAGTTTATCGCCTTGCAGTTTCTTGTTATGACATTCAAAAATTTTTTGCAAATACAGTTGTTGGACCGTATATAATGTAAATTTATTGATTTAATTTGGAATTATTGCAATTTCTTGATCTGTGTGTAAGTGAAATCTTAACTATCGTCGCCCATAACAAAATCGTATTATATCATTTATAGATGTTTCCTGAATCATCTAATAACGTCAGTAATCAGAAAACAGGTAAGCAAGTGGATATGAAATATTCGATGTACAAATAGCTATTGATTTTGTATGTATCGTCAAGTCTTTGCTATAAATTACTATAGTGTTGTAATAGGTGAAATAAGACTTGAAAGAAATTGTAATTCGTGTTTTAACGGTTTTCCTTACTATACCCCACGCTTTTTGAAGTTGTATTGACTACCGCCTGACATTGCATTATGACGTTACTAAACCCTAGTCTATATACTGTACAAGTTAGATACAGTATATTTTCTTCACGTATAGCGACGGTATGCAGTCCTATGGGTACAGGACTTTATGTACTGTACTCATCATTATTGTACGATCAGTTCGGAGTTGCCTGTATCTTAACCTTCAATCCTTCACCCGAATTGATTTGATGTCTAGCACCACTATGTACATACTGAAAAGTGTAGGGAATCTTCAAAACTAGAAATCGTCAGACCGTCCTACACTACCCTACAAGTACTGTACTATCTACAGTATGTATCAATAGCTCTAAAATTCCCCTTATGTGCTTTCTATGTACGAACGGGACACACTGGTTGTGAAATTCTCTTTTTGGCGTTCGATACGTCCACTGAGTGCCTAAATAACAGTAAATTCAATTTCATTGCGTGAAATAGTCGTCAGTGAATGTATTCAAATGGCCAATACACAACCTATATTAGAGTCAGACAAGATTGGAAAGTATGTCTGGTTCAAGTTTTTAAGTTTTTAAACTCTAAATCGGCAATTATAATAATTTATAAGAGCATTAACATTTTTTCTTGTATTATTCTATATTGTGCCAATGTATTGTGATCTGCCGTCATTCTTTGCCGTCTTTTACTTTGTATGCCGTGATTGTACTATATTGAATATTTGTGTAGCAAGCTCGCCTACTGTTTAGTCTTGTTGAGAGGATAGACTTCGCACAGGTGTTTTTTTGTTTGTTTGAATAAGGAACTATTGTTGGAAGAAATGCTTTTTGTTCGTGGAAAAAAGTGCACTATCATTTAGTGCCACTCTACGTTCTATTAAGTCAAGTCAATAACCCAGGGACACTAAATTTATTAGACGGCAAACTGAACTAGTCGACGACTAGGTGTAGGTCTAGATCTATTAAGTCAAGTCAATAACCCAGGGACACTACATTTATTTATTAGACGGCAAACTGGACTAGTCGATGACTAGGTGTAGGTCTAGATCTATTAAGTCAAGTCAATAACCCAGGGACACTACTGTACACTGTACAGTACATTTATTAGACTGCAAACTGGACTAGTTGACGACTAGGTGTACTGTACAGTACAGTAAAGTACTGTAGGTCTAGGTCTAATCCTGTGCTGTACAGTACATTGTACAAGATTATTACAGTACATACTCTACGACCTACAGTACAGTACTGTATATTTTACAGTACAGTATTGTACAGTACAGTACGTTGTACTGTACAGTGTACAGTATCTTTGCATACGTACTGTACGGAAGTGGATTGATCCTGCATAATGAAAGTCAGCCTATTGATAATAGTTGATGGCCCACAGAGTGCCCATGTTTACTTTTAAAAAATCCATGGACGTATGTATTAGAATCTTAACAAGGAAGAAATCAATTCAGTCGGAGTAGCAATTGAAGTTGCTCTGTTTCACCTTGAACTAATGTCCATTTTTATCGGTTCGATATAGAATCTGTTTTATGCGGCTAATTTACTGATCATGTCGCCACTATCGTATCAGTATGATTAAAAAAAAAAATGGAGGAATCAATACGTATACCGTTAGTATTTTGATATTAATAAGCCTATGTGCGACACTACTTTTCACGATACCAGATTAATAAGTTTGTCATGATTGTCTTTCTCTCAATAAATCTACTGTAATATCCTTCAACTACTCTGATGTTTTAATAATAATAATACTGTAATTATATAATCAATCAATGTGATAAAACCGCTATAACTAGAGTTGGTGGTATTCATTCTGCTGTACATACGTGGCAGTATTGATGTATTTTGAGATTGACGTTGAATTGAGTTATGTTTATGAGCGAAAATAAAGTACCAGTTAACAGGTATACAGCCATCATCTTGATGCTAATCATGGTTGCTTGATAGTTCTCTACATATTCATATGGTGGTTCATTAGTCCAAGGTCAATAGCAGCTTCAACCGATGTCATATTCGACTTTCATAACTGGAATAGCCTACGCTTATGATACTCCTACGCAATAGAGTCGTCTAAAAAGGTTTTACACTTAGAGATCGTGTAAAAGCACCTTTATTATTATTTATAAATTAAAATAATATTATTAGGCTGGGGTTAGTAGCGCTGCTTTATATCTTTTAGCCTATATGAGTTTCACCATTTTTTTTATCATCCCTCAGCGGTATTTGACCTGATCCTTTTAAGAATGGTTTATTATAATGACACAAAGTTACGAGTAGATCTTGCGATATTGGTCACTGAGATTGTTTCAATGCTTGGCTTTAGTTCTGTAAGCTCAACTATAAAATGCAGTCCAACCATGATTTATACATAGTAACATTTTGTTTTTCCTCATCATTTGACCTTAACTATAGTAGTCTTTTTTATAAGATAAAATATCAAGTATTTATCCAGCTAAGGTTGCAAGATCATCACAGTATTGACATGAATTACTAGATGTACCTAAGTGGTATTGCTATCCTTTAGAATTAGTTTTATCCTTGATAGCAGCATTTATCTGCTCCTTGATTCGTATGTGTAGAATTACATATTGCTTGTCTATATTAATGTTGCTTATCGGTTCTCCCTTTACTTGGAGGCTGCATCACTTATTCGCGTTAATTTTTTTCTTTTTGGGCCAATAATACCTAATACTAGGTGAAGGTTCGCGTGAAATATGGCGCCATAACAATCAAGTAACCGTAGCGACAGCAGTACCGACAACATCAACTGCCATGAACGTTTTATATGACGGCAGGGTAATGACTGTATTTGATATATTTATTAATCGTAAAATGACGTAAATAACGTTTTAGATTTATGGCAATTAGTTCAGGTATACTCGTAGATTACATGTTATGCAACGGAAACTCACCATTGCAAATCCGTATCGGAGTTTGTGTCTTTTCAATTTGAACAGAACTGATGACTGACTATATGATGTAATATCTAATACAAATGGAAATATAACGGTATTTGTTAATGATTGCAATTCTATTTGTAACATTCAAAATAGCCGTGCCAATAGTGCTTGGTGTCCGTGATGATCGACAGCTAATTATAATTAGACTAAATTACTGATTTGCCACTTTATAATTTCATAATTACCATTATGCCATTGCAAATTTCAGTTATAATTATAATTGTCATAAAACGCAGATTAGACTAATTCTAAATCCCTTTGACCTACGCATAGCTTCATAAGATATAAATTTGTGCAATACTTTTTATAATTCATCAAATCACAGATATATCTATTTTACGAGATAAAACCTCATTTTCTTAGAGTTGATTTTAATTTTTAACATTAATCCAATACTAGCTTGGATTGATTACATTACTCATCATTTGCCAGTCTGTTGTCTCGTCGCTAATTTTTTAAGTTATCTACTTGAAAAGTTCATGACAGTCTGGTATTTTTGTTTTATCCTTGCCATTCTTATCCTTTCTCACATATAAACCATAAACAAGTAACCCCCTTGTTGTTTAAATTCTCACGTTGATGTTACTTACTTTATACTTCTTTCATCAATACGAATGTCTTTCATTTCCAATCAGCGAAAGTGAAAACAATAACAATTGCCCGAAGCAATCATTTTCTTGTTTTATAGTCATTGTTTTTGACTCTCAACTAATTTTTTGTACTATCTGATCTGATCAATTGTATTTTACTCGCCATCACTTAGTGAAAATAGCTTTGATAGTGCCGCAGTGATCTATGTATATATACAGTATATATAGATATGTATATGATAGCGATGTCGGGAGCCAGTGAGTCGTTATCGATAAGAATGCAAAATAATTTCAACTATGTCAGCCATTCCTTCTATTTTTGAATAGCTCAGATGTTCCGTAGTTGTGGTATTTTGTATATATCAGACGATAGTCAGCATTGAATTAGATTGTATACTGCACAATCGGTACGATGCTGCACTCCATCACTTAACTGTTACAGCTAATGTTGGTGTTCAAATAGCATTATAATAATCCGATAGTAAAGTTGGAATCACCATATGAGATGGAGTGACATCGTTATATTATAATAATATAGTGCCTTTGTATTGTATTTAAGCCCTCTCATGCTTCGAATGACGTACTTTACCTATATCATATTACGATTTATACATCATAATACATGATATTTCGTAGCTTTGCTTCTTACTAATAAATACGACTGAAGAATGATCATTATTACGATTCAGACCGTCATAATTTTAAACGTCCTATAACTTTTACTGCTATATGTACCTTACTTGCTTATTATTATCAATACCACTATGACATGATAAAAATTTACGGGTTAAATGCAAAATGTTACTTATAGAGGTCTTGGTATGGTAACTGATAGTGAATATTTAAATTGTTTTACGCGTTTTAATGCTGTTACTATAGTTGAAGGAGAATTGTCCATCTATAATTTATAATCAATAGAAGCAACAGTTTACCCTTTTCTTTTTCACTGTCTATGCTAATGAGATAAACTAAAATGAGCTTTGAGCTAGAGAAGGCAAAAGTTTCTTGTAGCCATACTGTGCTTGTTAGCTATACCGTTAGATCTCAGTGAAGTAACCCACATTGGTCGTCAATTTAATGCAAGTATATGGCTTACAGATTATAGACGATAACTGGAAACAAAGAAGCTATGTTGTATCATAGAAGTTTAACATGAGTTAACATCGCACAAATTCGTTGTTAATGTGCATTGATAACATCCAGTTAATAGCGTTTTTTACTAGTAACAAACCGAAATTTTTTAACTCTTGGAAGAAGAAATGGATCACAAAAAATCGATTGTATGGCATCGAATTATATATAATTATACATAATTTTTCTTTGACTTATTTTAATTCGCGTATACAATTTGAAAGTAATGAAATTGTGTATGCAGATGTGTATAGAATAGTACAAGTATATTATTACATACGAGATTGGGAAAACCATTACACTATTAGCGATGCTGTTATTGATTAATGTGATCGATGTAGTTAAGAGTGCATTAAATACCTCGCTTATAACTGCGCTCTGCGTATGCCGAAGTTTACAACTGCTTACGTCTTCTTTTAGGGTTATCCTCATGATTTATCTACGACCGGCCACCGTTCACACCCTCCACCGCCACCGCCACCAGCACCACCAGTTACACAGGCGTCACAGCAATCAAATGATTTTAATAATAATGGAAGAGATGTAGTAGTAGGAGTTGATTCAATGGAAGAACATTCAATGCATGATCTATCAACAAATTATCATGATGGTTACATCGCCAATACTACAGCAGCCGTAAACATTGATCCAATGGGTAAGTAAGAACATTCTGATACTGTAACACGGTATATTAATATAAGAAATTAGTAAAATTTTGTTTACAAGTTATACTAGAATTTAATGGAAGTGGAATATTTATTTTGTTCGATGCCTACAATTTAAAATTGATTTAATTTCTAGTATATGAAATTATTACTTTACGAGATATGATCAGAACACAATCTTTCATTCGAGAAATTTTTTTTTACGCTAATTATTTTAAAACCTAACATATAATCAAATCTCGGAAAAGGAATCATAAAATGAATATTGCAAGCCTATTCTATTTTCTCAAGCTATGACTGCTATGTAAATTTGAACGACATACAATCATGATTGACACTTATCTATGCATATGAAATCATCGGGATATAACATTACAACTATTTTACCACATAATTCATAGTATTCCTTTGGTTTCATCATCCAATGCATAATCGACGTTATTAGGGATCACAGCTAGTAACGTTCTATACTATATTACTATAAGAATGCGATAGATTCTAAAATGGTCAATTACTATGCTTGCTTTGCCTAGGATAATGCAATTATGAATTTGTACTGTTCATCGTCATTTAACCATACATTATTATTATCGTGATCAATTTCAGTTTATAACTCTAGACAAAGTCGTCTTTATATCTGGTGAAGATTGCACTCTACAATATATTCTTTGGTAAAGAACTTTGATTATATTGCTACTGTCAGTCATCACTATAATTTCACGTTTATTCATAATTTGAAAATTTAAATCGAGTTATTTCCTGAGGGAATCTGATTATTTATTTACAATGCAGGCAAAGATGATGTCATCAATATATCTTATTGAAATTTTATAGCATAAAAGCCGTTATATTCGTCTGCTGCAGCTTTTCCTTCTACTAATTGATTTAAACACTGGTTTAATGGCAGAAACTATTAGCAGATGACGTAATTCCCTACAGATCGAATTATGAGACGTAGAAAATTACTATATTTTTTCATACATGCGATTGAAACTTACCAGTTGTTTAATTCTGTGAGAAGTATTGTATCAAAGAGACCTGAACTGACAGTATTTCCTTAGTAAATTTCTATCCTCTTATTGTAGTTATATAGTAATACTTTATAACAATGTGGCCGGTACATCGTAATCAATATTCACGTTATAACTTTCGTCGCTACCGATACAAGATTGATTTCAGTTGTCGAAATTTAAATGAATTTTTGCCAAATACTGGCTGGGAAATATGATTTTTTACTGGTCATGCGACCTTTACTATTTAAGGGTAATGAGTATGATAGTATAAATTTTAGTAATATTATGTATCGATAGTTCCTAATTACTATGCCAATAACAACGTTATTATCATGTATTCTTTCGAACGTTAAGTCCTTGTAACTGAGCACAAGTTGTGATTCCATGCCTGAAATATAGCAAGTATTGAACAATTTTATGATGGGTGTATTTTCGTTAAGTGATTACGTCAATGACTATTAAATTTTCATAAAAAAATGTTGCTACGAGAGATCGATAGCGACAGTAATGCGCGTACGTTTTATTCCCTACTTCATAATAGAGCTGAATTAAACATTAATTATTTTAGAGCTTAGCTTGCTGAAGCAAATGCGTACGATAATTGTGGTAGCAAATATCGATGACTGCATTATTTGAAATAACATATGGTAATTAGAGCAACAGTGTAAGCACAACGCCATGAGTTTTTAGCTGCTTACTGTCATATTCGTCTAATTAAAAATCTAGGCACAAGTTTTATGGTTATTTTGTGAGTGACAAATTTACCATTAAATTATGAATTGCAGAGCTATCAAGCTAGTCGCAAAGTAAATACGAAGGTAGAGGTAATTATATTTCAAAATCTGGTCAGAATAGGAAGCAATGTCAGCTTTTTTACGATTCAGGTGATCGTACCTGAAAGGTAGTGAAGTTCTACTAGTTAAAATGGCATTGGTTTGCATTGATGAAGTTCCATTGAAATTCGGGATTTTTATAATTGTTTAATTATATATATATATATATATATATATATACATATATATATACTTAATTATTCGATAAAATGGATCATAGTTTTCTACTAGCAGATGTCCCATGAGATTTAGAAAAACATTTTAATTGTGTTCATTTGCGTAATAATTTAGTAATTTGATACATTTAGCAAAGAAATCAATCAGAGGACTGATAGATTACGAGATCATTTCGGACATGATGATGTCCCTTGGGATTTATTTGTGTAACTATTCATTGGTAACTTACTTTATTCAATAATATATTGATTAGTGTGGAAGTCCAAAGATCATAGTTTCACATTAAGTACCGTAGTTTCCCTGAAACTAAGAAAGATTTAATTTAATTTATGTCTATTCACTTAATAGATATAGCAAATTACTATATTTAGGAGACGAGTTAAACAGAAGCTCACAGGCTAAAGCATGGACCACTAGAAGCATATTTCTAGTAATCCATGACCTCAGGTTCTTACCAGAAAAGGTCTCTTGGGAGTTAGAGAAAGAAAGGCTTCGATTGCTTATGTATATGAACTTACATTAAAGCATAATAGTTATATTAAATTAACAGTGGAATTGATTGCAAACTTATTGGGTCATATTGTTGCTTTAATTTAAGTCCCTTGGGACTGCAAAGGATTTGAACCACGCTTGTTACGTAATTACTGAGTAAGATACTATATTTGGCAATGGGCTAGAGTTACTTGAATGTAGTATGCACCAGCTGAAGTCCCTCGGGATTAGGAAGGATTTTAATCACAAATATTTTATTTATTCATAGTTTGTTGCATGTACAATGAAGTTGATCAAAGACTTGTTAGATTGCACTATTGTAACGGCCTATGTCCCTTGGGAACAAAAACATTTACAGTTAATTGTGCCTGTGTACGTAACATTTAAGTAGTTTATTATATGCCTATTCATGGTAAATCGATCAGAGAACTAGTTGATTATAGCTTGTACTGCCTAATGTCCCTTGGGACTCAGAATAATTTAATTGTAATTGCATATCTATTGCGTTAGTAGCGTATTGTCTATTTAACCTGAGAGTTAATGTCTGACCAGATAGGCTATACTGTCGTGCTAGTTAGTGTCCCTGAGGACTGGGAGATTTTCTTCACGCTCATATATATGTTTTGGCTTGATACTGTATATTTCGACATTTCTTGAAAAGCTTAAGGAGTTATAATTGGTACTGTCAAATGTTCCTTAGGACTCAAACTAATTATAGTAGTTACTCCTGTGTATTCGTTTAATAGCTTACCAATCTATCATACTGCATGTCTTAACGATAAAATTGATCAAGATTTAATAAACTATACTCTTGTACTAGCTTATGTCCCCTGGAAGAAAGAAGATGCAATTACAATTATTTACGTAATAGTTTACTACTTACTATTAGAAACAGTGGATTGGATAACGAAATGATAGGTTATGTAGTTTTACTGTAGCTAGTATCCCTTGGGATTAAGACTGATTTAGTCATATCTATCTGTTTAATAGATTAATCGGTGAGCAGATGAGTGACTGACTCATTGCCACAACTACCCTTGCGACACAGGAAAACAACACAGTACTTATAATAAAACTTTACGTTAATTCGCAGAACTACTTCCCTAGCCTACGGTATAGTAACTGGAATCGTTGCGAAGTACTAACTCGCTTAACTCAATATACAATATAAAACTATCACGCAACTTAGCCTTAACCTAGATCACTTTTTATTGATCACAGTCCTTCTTATACACTCTTTCAGTAGTTATAAACATATCTACTATGCTACCAACATATTTCAATAACAAACATGTTATTACGTTGAATTATCAAATATGGGCATTCGAGGTAATAAACAATTTCATACGTAAATCTACTTCGACTGTAAGCCCTGTCAAACTCCTATGTTCTCGATACTTACTTGTAACATATTACTATATCATCATAATATCATAATAACTTAGGTTATTACTAACAATAACAACTCCTAAAGTAGTAGTTCATACTTCTAAAAAGTTTAAAACAAAATGTAATCATAAACTACACATCCAAATCTAAGTTATTTTGATGACTGTGACACTCGTACACTTGATACGTTTTTATTTCTTTGTTAGCTTTTGTAAGCTGTAATATTTGAACTAAAGCGCGAATTAATGACCGGCACTAGTTGATGTCCCTTGGGACTAGAAAAGATTGTAGTTACACTTATTAGCGTAACAGTTTAGTAATTATCTATTTAACAGAGAAATAAACAAAGGAGCTAAAGTTAATGAATTGTACTTCGCGCTAGTTAATGTCCCTTGGGATTTGGAACAATTTTAATTACAGACACTTCTTTAACCGGTGATATGTCCGTTTATCTATTACTGTATCAACGGTTAAGCCAACGAATGACCTGATTGATCACATTGTATCATCTAAGTTCCTTGGGACTAGAATAAATTTTAATGCACTCTGTAAATTGTTACCGGTAAATTGCCATATTTTATAGTGAAGTCTTTCAGTGCAGTTAATCAATGATCTGATAGTTACATTGTCATACTGGTTGATGTCTCTTGGGACTAAGAAAGATTTAATATAATATATTTGAATATTATTACTGATCTGATACTTTACGTTGCCGCACTAGTTGATGTCCCTTGGGACTAAAAATTGCTTCAATTATATCTTTTTGTTTTAATGTTTACATAATAGTTCAGTAATTACTATATTTAGTAACGAAATGGGTTACAATAGCTGGTAGATTATAGTTTACTATCGCTAATATCCCTTGGGACTAAACTTTAATTACATGCCTTTATTTAATAGGTTAGTAAAATTATTATCTGCTATATGGTAAATTGATGAATTACCGGATTGATTGCATG